TAAATAAAATAAATATTTATTTTCTCCAATTCAAACAGAGGGGAGATATAGATATAATTAATTGATTTATTCAAAGTCAACAGACTTTGACTAAATCAAAAAAGCATAAACTCTGTATTTTTACAATAATGTAATCCCTACTGATTTCCATGGAAGGTAACATATATCAGGCAGCACGGTGGCACGGTGGTTAGCACTGTTGTCGCACAGCAAGAAGGTCCTGAGTTCAATTCCACCATCAGGCCGGGGTCTTTCTGTGTGGAGTTTGCATGTTCTCCCCGTGTTTGCTTGGGTTCCCTCCGGGTACTCCGGCTTCCTCCCACCGTCCAAAGACATGCAACTTGTGGGGATAGGTTAATTGGATAATCCAAATTGTCACTAGGTGTGAATGTGCGAATGAATGTGAGTGCGAATGGTTGTCTGTCCCTGTGTGTTGGCCCTGCGACAGACTGGCGACCTGTCCAGGGTGTACCCCGCCTTTCGCCCTATGACAGCTTGGATAGGCTCCAGCGCCCCCCGTGACCCTGAAAAGGATAAGGGGATGGATGGATGGTAACATATATCTTCATTATCATATTTTTGCAGGTGTATTAGAACAAAGTGAATGAATTGTAATTTTTAAAAGCTCTAATATTTTTGCATTTAAAAAACATAATCTCAAGTCTGAAAGTGTTCCAGGCACACTTGTTGAAACATCAATTCCTTATGTTCCTGCAGCTGGTTTAGAATTATATTCTCCACATACAAATCAAGTGAACCAAAAGAAATCATATTGGGGGTTTTTTTATTTGTTTGTTTTTTATTAATGCCATTTAATGCCACATAGGCATTAAATGACATAGGGCTCTTTTACTGTGTCACATCAATGTCATAGCACGCTGTGTGAGGCAGGTTGGATTGGATCCCAAAATACACTCAAGCAGGACTGAACTCAAACCTCAGCTTTATTGTTGGATTCACCCAAATATAATAACTAAACTGAAAGGCACTAGAAACTAAACTAAACAGACTTACTGACAGAACACACAGCCAAGAAATGAGAGAGAACAGAGGGGAGATGCAGACATGAATACACGGGGCAAACGAGGTGGAAACACAGCTGAACATAATCTAACAAAGGAGATAGGAGCCAAAACTGAACATACTGTACACAGGACAAGAAACTGTCAAAGTAAAAAAGAGTAAGTATGAGAAACCCACACAGAGATGCCGTATTATAATGTTAGCTTTAGTGACCAATTTTTTTAAAGGCACTTTATTAATTAATGGCTCTTTGTCCAGTAACCAGTTAGGTGGTAAGGGGGAAAAAAGACAAACAAGAATAATACAGATTCACAAAGAATTGTGTAAAAACTGTGGTAACCAGGAAAATGATGAAAAGGTGTATTGCAGATGAGAAAATATTGTAATATGTGTGTGAAGTTGAGAAAGCATATATTTTAAATTAAATTGTACTTTTTAACCTAAACTTAAGTTCAATTGTAAAATATGATGCCAGAAAAGAGTCAGACTGCCTTCTGATTAGATGCTATGTGATGATGCTTACTAATGCTGACTTTGCCAGATGTTGTTCTTCCTTGCCATCCTATACTAGAATCATACACTAAAAAAGTGAGTGTGACACAAATTCTGGAGCGAGCATATGATTGATTTATCTACTGCATTCAGCTTTGACTCAAGGGGTTTGTTGACCTTCTATTCAACAGTTTTTCACCGGAACTCTCAATATGAGGTCCAAAGAGAAGTTGCACGTGAACGAGGCTTACAAACAAACAAAATAAACTCACCTAGACAGAACAGCAACATATTGTAGATGCATATCCACTGTGTGTTGTGTTAGGTTTTATGTAGTGGAGACATGTGATTGCTTATTGAGAAAAGGTTGTTTCTCCATCGCTCAGAGCCGCTTTGCCTGCATTTCAACTCTCTTTGCGCGGCCCACACAGAGAGGGGATTTAATAGATTTAATGTTGCTTTCTCATCAGCAAGACATCATGGCAATGTTGCTTACCTCTGCTTCACTGATGCTTTTTTCTTTCTCTATCCAGCTAGGGATTAGGTAACACGGACATTGTTTTCCCACTGAAAAGATGGAGCACAGACGATGCTTACCGCTGCTTTAGCAACTTCCTGCTGTTCTCTATGCGATGTTTATAAGCCACATACTGATCTTTCATGTATCTCATTCAGGCCGTGGTCTACTATATATGTTTGTATACTTTCAAATCCATTAAGCATTCATATATAAATTTTAAAAACTATAAAACCTAAATACTTCTACATTTACATGTGAAAATTCAGTGTGTAGGCTTTGTTGCACAGAGAGAGAAAAATTATCTATAAAGCAGAGGTAAGCAAAGCTGTCCCAGTGTTTTGCTGATGACAAAGCTACATCAGGACTTTTAAATCCCTCTCCATGTGGGTCATGCAGAGAGAGAGAGCATAAGCAAAGACCTCTTCCCAATGGGTAAATACTCATCTCTCCTACATAGGGGCTACCACCACCCACACAGCATAAACAGGCTATGTAGGCAATGTGTTACTGCGCTGTGCTGGATGAAGCTAACGGACTATGCTCCTCTGTAATGCTGATATCATGGAAATGTAGGGTACTGTCTGGGTATCAAAGGGTCTGTATAGGTTCTTAGACATCCAGGACATGGAAGTCTTGAGTGATTAAAAAGAGGCTAATTGGAATTCTTTAGATTTCTAAAAACATGTCACCTCTCATTCAAGAGGCTTCTTCAGTTCTAAAACAACTGAGGGAGAGTCCTAGGTATGAGGTGAAGGACATAAATGGCCTCCTTTATTACTTTGTCTGTGAATGACCATTGTTAAACAGGTAGTGGCTTTTAAGACAAGCTATCAGCCACATACAATACAGTCTTGAGATCCCTCCCTAAGTGTTTCAATCCCCAGTAAAGGCCTAGCAGAGCCTGTAAGGAAAGGAAACAGCATTTGGTGGTATCTGCTGGTTTGAGATTTCAGGCAGACATTGGCTGGAAAGAATTTTGGGACAGTTACTTAAAAACAATTCTTATATTTAAATTCATTTTTCTATCCATTTTCTGTCACTTATCCAGGTCCAAGTCATGGTGGCTGCAGTCTAAGCAAAGATTCCCAGACCTCCCTCTCCCCAGTCACCTCGTCTAGTGAGGGATTCCCAAGCCAGAAAAGATACATAATCTTTACAGTGTGTCCTGCTTCTACCCTGGGGCCTCCTCCTGAGACATGCTCTACTTCAGGTTTTTCAAGTAAAACAAAGAAATGTACCCAGCATTTTCACACACACGATTGTAAAGTTTGCAAAATCATGCTCAAAACAAAGTCTTGAACCCTAATTTACCTCCCGGATGGACTTGCATCAACCAAGTTGTACTGGCTGTACCTTCTTCCCAGGATAACCTCCTTGAGAACTCCATGGGAATCAGCCGTGCCCAACCACCTGGTTGTCCCAGTCTGACATGTGGCTAAACTGTGCACAGACTTAATACTAAACAAGCGAAGTGAGATACGCCAAGATACAGGCACTGTGGAGGACTCAGCTTTGGTGTGTTTTCGCTTGTTACTGTCATCACATTTTTTTGTCAATACAAACAGTTCTTGGTCATAGATGAGAGTGACAGTGTAGATTTACCAGAACTGTAGATAAGTGGGTTTGGTTTCACACGCAGGTTTCTCTTCACCATGACTGACTGATACAATATCTGCATTACTGCAGCTCCACCAACTATCTGTCTGTTAGTTTAACATAATAAAATTATTTTTGTAGAATTACTTTTAAAACGTTTAGTAGACTAAATAAATATGTAGAATCTCTTGAAACAAAGTCTGCAGTTCAATCACATCTTTATTATTTCATTTGAACATGGTGGCAGTGTACAGAGGCCAAATAAGTGTCATTGTACAAAAACATATTCATCCAACTGTACATTAACTGCAGACAACAAATTAAATAGACAAGAAAAGTTTAGTTTTTTCAAGTTTTCTACTTAAATTGCAAAAAGACAATTTCACACAGGCTGCACTAAATCGTAGTGTCACCACATGAATGAAAGGCAATTCATTTACAATTGTTCTGCAATTTGAGCAAAAGTCCACTGTGTTATGATCTTTTCTCTCTTTTTTTTCTTTTCTTTAACCAAAATTACTTTTGTATAGTTTTGACATAAAATAAAATGAGCCAACAAGGGAAAATATTCACAGAGTGTTGACTCTCTTGTCTGACACTACTGCTTCTCTCTTTTCAGCTGAAATCCAGAGGAAAAAAAGGACAATTGAACTGGTGTTCTCTCAAAACGAGCTAGGCTTTGGTTAGCTCTGCATCGGCTTCCAGTAAGACTCCTTTAAAGTCATATGCTTTTTTTTTTGCTTTTTTTTCTTCCTCTCCACAGAACCCTTTTAAACTACATGCCTGTGAAGACTGATACTCAGTAAGAAAGAGCTAAATGGAAATGAAAACAACAGGCCTTTGGAAATAGTAAACCCCATGTACAAGAGTGAAATAATGGCATAAAGCAGTGAGATTGATAATGCAAAGAAATGTCCTGCTGAGTATGGATCCACCATAAATAGGAGCGAGGACAGAGTGAGAGATGTAGAAAGATACAGAAAGAATGTGAGAGAGCAATTCAGCAGGGGTTACTAAATATGGGGTTTTGGTTTTAATCATGTAAATGCACTGTCTAACCACCTAAAGCGGTTATGTCCACAGCAGGGAGATGAAGCTGTGATGATGGGGTCAAGAAGACGTGCTCTGTATGCCTGCACAGCAAAAACTGGAGTGTTAAAATTTCAGGGTTAAAGATGTTAGAGTTGATTTCCACTCTCAAAGTGTCATATTAACACATTCTGATTCAAATAGTGTTCAGTGTTGGAGTTATTAAACAGTGTTATTCAAGTCCAAGCAAATGAACTCTGAAGAGAGTTATTTAACTTGGTAGGCCCTGGGCTTCTGCCCAGGTAAACCCGTGGATCAATTAATAGTTTGCTCTGCCGGGCCGATTTTCCATGTGCTTCTGCTGGTTACACCGTGGTGGATGCCTGCCGTGCTGCTTGGAGTATTTTACACAAACGGTAAGTTATTCAAACTTATATAAAATTCACAGTATTCTATCGGCGCAGTGAGGTTTTCTTGATGTTTCTTGGTGTTCGGTTGCTGAAAACGAGCTTTAATAGAGGAGGAGATGTGTCGAAAATTCTATTTAGCCTCCAATGCTAATGTTAATGTTGCAGTCTTTTTACTCGTAAGTGACGGTAGACACTGCACGTGGAAGCGCCGCGCCACGTTCAGCTTTTCCCCTGTTCACACAGACACGTCTTTCTCCACGCCAGTTCATGAGCGTTTTTGCTTCTCTGTTTATTCAGAGTAATTTTTTCACAATTGATAAGTAAATAACATCCCAAAATAATTGAAGAGAGCTTGTTTTAGTCACTCCTGCTTTTACTTTGACATCGTTCATCGCTGACTTGTCTCTAATCTGTCTCTCTCTCTGTCTCACTCTCTTCTCCCTTTGAGACACCCGCCCCAAACATAGTCAGTTAGGCTGTCCCCTCCTTTGCTATGTGTTCATTTTCATCTCTATTGTCTCTTTTCATACACAAATCTGATCGCATTTGTCAATCGCAGTATTTTATTTTGGAGAATAGCTTTTATCTTCAAAATTGCCTGGATTGTCTTGTGTGTCTTGGTGTAACTTCCTGCGGAACATGCGTGGCCCACGCAAAAAATAGACCAGATACCGAAACAATCGCTTCGTAGCACTCCGTGTCTGGTGTAAACTACACCATAGATTAACGTGTATTTTGTATTGTGTTATGTATCAATTGGACTCCTGCATGGACAGACACAGGTTTATTTGATAACATTAAATGTTATTGCAGTGAAATTCAAACGCATGGTCAGTATTAATCACCATGTACGGTATATGTCAGTGTTTTAATCATTTGTGCTTGAATTGCTCTAAATGTCAAATACTATGCCATCTTTGTTATTATTTTATCCCAGTAAAATGCTGGTCCAGGTTCGATACTGCCAACAGCAGAAGTATGTGAAGTTGGAAGAGGTTGATGGGCGTTTTGAGTTTATGCAGTTTCATGAAAAAGGTTTGTTTATATCTTACCTAATTTTAGTTGGGGGACAGAATTTTTTGTAGGGCGTTTCGCCAAGTCTCTTGAATCATACAGTGGTGTATCACTTTAGTGAATGTGAGGCAAGAACAGTTTACTTAAAAGGTGCACTCAGATATATCTTATCTTTTCCAGTCATCGAGAGATTTTGCCTGCCACCTGATGCAAAAGTAGTGTACAAAGATGCAACAGGGACAGAAGTTGATGAAGTGATTTTCAGTGATCTTATCAGCCAAGGCACTGTGGTCCTAACAGTTTTCTCAAGTGATGGTGAGAAATTTAAAGGGGCAAGCTCAACACCAGACATGGGGAAGGGCTGTGTGGCTGCTGGTTGTTCCAAATAATCAGGAGCACACAATTTGACCAATCAGCTGTTTGAACATTGAGATCAGTTAATTTAAATGAGTCAGGTCTGCAGTGTGATGTTGCCTTGTTAGTTAAAAATCTGCAGCCAGATTTGTTTTTCTACACCTTACAGAATAATGTTGTTTTTTCCTTTTAGAATTTTCTGATTACTCCTTGTCTTCTGCATCTGATTGTTCTGACTCAAGCTTCAGCTCAAATGCAAGTACATCAACTATACTTCTAGATGAGGGTCCCAGGAAGAAAACAAGAGTTGAGGGTACTGTTGATGCAGCATCTGCTAAAAAGGTTGTGACAAAACTCAGTTCTCATAGTATTTTTCTACTTCATTATTCTTAATATGTAGAAAAGCTATTCCTCACTTTTTGCATCTTTTTTTTTTCTCAAGTTAATTGAAGGTGTACTTGGAACCAATTCAGGTGGTGAAGAGGTTCTCCAGGAATATCACACAACACAAACTCTAACAGATGCTACCAGAAGAAAAATGGTCAATATAATAGTGGCTCACATGATTGATTGCCATGGGTATGTGTGTTCTATTTGTGCATTTTATTTTTTTTTAAATACAAGTTACTATTTTGCCATTACTTAAGCATGTTAATTTAAAATCGTTTTTCAGGCACCTCCCCACCAAAGCTGTTAGAGAACAGTACGCGCTAGGGGTAGTGACATTGTTCCCATCCCTGAAAGACCCATACTCCAAGAAAGGCTATGTATAGTCACTACTATTGCACTTTGTTTACATAATTTTCATGCTGTGCATCATTGGGATTTGTGTGCGTTCACATTTAAGTTCTAAAAATTTTCAGATTGACAACACATTATTTTTGAATGTATTTACATTTTAGGAACACTTCTATGATGCTGCAAGCAGCACTGGATACATTTCTTGGCGTTTGAAAACGATACAGAGAAAGACTAGAAGAGGATCTGCACCACCAAGTAGCTCCACTGGCTTTACTCAAGGAGGTAAGAAATTAAGTGTCCACAAACTAGATAATGTGCTCATTTACATTAGATACTATTTTGTTTTCATTTACCTATCTGATCAGCACCTATGCTTTTATGTTTGTGTGTTTTTCTTCAGGGGGCCCAAATTACCAAAGGCCCATTAATGTCGACATGCAGCTTGATGGAGATGCTTGCCAGGAGGCCATCTCTTTGCTGAAACATACATCCGACACTTCCTTGATTTTCCAGAAGATGAGAGAGACCTTTCAGCATCGTCAGAAGGTCATCAGTGATCCTGACAAAAGTCTTGATATCCTGTCTATCTTCCCAAGATTCTTGGATACAAGAGGATTGGTGAGAATATTCAGTGGAATTTTTAATATCACTTTAAATTTCAAGATGAATGTGGCAGTAGTAGATTTTCTTTCTTAAAGGTGAATCAAGACTTCACTCTCCTGTTTGATGATGAGATATCTACCAGGCTGCTTCAGAAATGGGATCCAATCTTTAGGTATCAAATCATCAAAGAGGCCAAGCAGCTCACCTCAACAGTAGAGTTGCGTCAATTGGTGCAGTCAGCAGAGAGTCCACCAGGAAGTGATCTTGATGAGGCAGCAAGTGAGTTTGTTAAATATGATTTGCTATAAGCAGTTAAAGTTCAATAGCATCAGGATTCTATTAATAAATACCAATTCATTCACCTGTTAGCTTTGCTTCATCAGTTTTCTTTAGCTGTTAGTTTAATGTTTATGACAGCACATTTCAACTTTCTTAGGAAGTGTTTCTAGTTCTCCTTAAAAATTGCATTTGAAAGATTTGCTGTCAATTGATTCTTGTGACTCTTTGGCCGCAGCCTTTGACCAAGACATGGCCTCCCTGTTGTTACTGTTACATCTACTTCCGCCACCCCAGGAGGACCAAAGTATCAAAAAATCAGCGCCTCTGATGCTGTTGAGAGACTTGTAGTCTTTCATAAGGTAATTTAATATTTATAGTTTTTGTCATAAGTTGTCATGTCACTGGTTAAGAGGTGAATGAAACAAATTACAGTTGAGCTTACAAAGGAGGTTTACATACTCATTTCTGTGATGCTATTATCTCTGACTTGCTCCTGTGTCTAATGCTCAGTATCTTTGTCTCAACTCCAGTCTTGCTGCAGTTTGGAAGAGCATCTCCAGAATCAGCAGAGTCAGCAGCCATACCTCCTGGCTGTTGGGCGCCAGAAGAGGAAGGTCGACAGCTTCTATGTTGCCATAGACAAGCGTCTCATCCCCTGCCAGGCCAGCCGCTCCCTTGGGGCATTTGATGAGCTTTTTAAAGCTCATTTTGTGTTCAATGTGTCTTATGATGCTGCACTTGTGAATTTCTACACATTTCTGCAGACAACAGTATACAATATTGATATGGGGAAAATGAAGGAGTCCCCAAGAGTGCGTGACTTGAGAGCCAAAATCCTTAACCAGGAAATTCTTCTCACAACCTAAGTAAAAATCATTAAAATGCTGACATGTTTTTTGTGTAAGAGAGCTTATCTCAGCAGTCAGCAGCTGATTTCACATTTAAGAGGTGAACATGGTTATTATCCTGGACCTAAGTTTAAGTTATGTTGTTGGCAGCCAGGCTGCAGGCTTCAGTTCCAAACTTATGCAGGCTTTAGGAAGCACCTCAGTTTTCACAGCAATGTTGACCACAATGATCGAACTTCAGCCATTGCTTCTTTTTCTAATGACACAGTTTCACCTGCTTTGGAGGACCAGTTTAATTCCTCTTATCTTCCTCACAGTTCTCCCAGTGTTCTTCCAGAGTCTAGTTCTTCCAGTGTTCCAGTGAGCATTGATTCAGTACTTACAAGGGATTCATCCAAAGAAATCTGTGCATCCATTGTGGCCAAACTGCAGGGTAGTGGCCTTTCTAACAGTTTAGTATCCTCACTTGTAGGCGATTTGGAGGAATTAACAAGTGAGCTTCGCTCAGAAGCAAAGCAGGCCATTCTTTCTGCGTTACCCACAAAGGACTCCAGCATATCTTTAATAAATGAATGTTTTGAAAATTTTGAAAACCCTTTCACCAATCTGAACACAGAATGGAAACGAAATAAATACTTCAATCTAAAATGGGGAGTTGTAGAACCTAGAGAAATAACACTTGGAGTGAGGTATGACATCAGGCGAAATCAGAAGTTTGGTACTTATGATCAAGTACCTGTGAAGGATACTTTTATATATGTACCTATTTTGGAGTCTTTGAAGTTCATGTTTAGAAATCCAGAGATTTGTGTTTTCCTGCAGAGAGAGTGTAGCTCAGAGCCTGATGCTTATCATGACTTTTGTGATGGAAGTTACTTTAAAACTCACCCTTTGTTTTCAGCCAAAAGGCATGCATTACAAATTCAGCTATACTATGATGACTTTGAAACAGCCAATCCTCTTGGCTCTAAACGCGGAATTCACAAAATTGGCTGTATTTATTTTGTTATAAGAAACTTGCCCCCAAAATTTAATTCCATTTTGATGAACATTCATTTAGTGTCACTTTTCCACACACCAGATCTGCAAAAGTATGGTTTTGATGTTATACTGGAACCACTGATAAATGATGTCAAAAAACTGGAAAGCCAAGGGCTAAGTCTTCCATTTTCTGATGAGCAGGTATATGGCACAATATCACAGATCACTGGAGATAACCTAGGGATGCACTCAATTCTTGGTTTTAATGAGTCGTTCAGTAGCCGTCATTTCTGTCGCCTTTGTTTGATTGAGAAGAATGATTGTCAAATGGTGTACAGTGAGGATGATCCTAAAATTATTCTTCGTGGGAAAGATTTGTTTGACATACATTGCCAGTCTCTTCGGGAAGATCCTAAATTGAAGTCACTGTATGGGTTGAAAAGAAATTCTGCACTCAATTCATTGCAGTATTACCATATTTGCAATAACTACTCATTTGATATAATGCATGACCTTCTTGAAGGTGTGGCTCAGTATGAGGTCAAATTGCTTTTTGAGTATCTTACGCAACACTTCATATCAGAACAGAACTTGCTTTCTAGGATTTATGGTTTTGACTATGGATTTTTAGAAAGAAAAAACCGGCCCACTAAAATCATATTGGACAGTGCTGGCAATAGCATTGGTTTGAACTCTATCCAGACATTCTGTCTTGTGAAAAACATCCCACTTTTGTTTGGTGACATTATTCCTGCAGGGAACAGACACTGGAATTTGTTATTGTTGTTACTTCAAATAATGAACATTGTTTTTTCACCTTGTCTCACTCTGGGAATGACTATATATTTGAAGAATTTGATTATTGACCACCACAAACTATTTAAGCACACGTATCCACACAGAAACTTGATTCCTAAGCATCATTTTATGATTCATTACCCATCCTGTATTCGAAAAATTGGCCCTTTACTGTATATGTGGAGTATGAGGTTTGAAGCTAAGCACAAGTTGTTCAAAGATTATTTCAAAAATTTCAAAAACCTCACCAAATCGCTTGCTAAACGGCATCAGATGGCCATTGCTTATCACTGGGAAACCTTTTCTCTTAAACAGAAGGAGTTTGGGCCAATTAAATCATTTTCTTTAAGAGGTGAAAGTGTGGTCAATAGTGAAATGCTATTATCAAAAGATGTTTTCTCAACAAGTTGGGTTAAAATTGATGGTGTAGAGTACAAAGCTGGACTCGTTGTTTGCAGTACAATGGAGGAAGACATGCCAGTCTTTTGTCAAATAATTGATACACTTATGGTTGAAAATGACATTTTTTTGTTGACACACAAACTCTTTACTGAAAACTTTGATGAACATCACCATGCATTCAAAGTACTACAAACTGAAGAACGGTGTGTCATAAAAATAACTGAACTCAAATGTCACAGACCATTTGATATTCAAAACTCATACAGTGCTGCAGATGAAAGTTTGTACATTATATCTTCATTTATTATGTTTTGATTCACTTTCTGGGAAAAAGAAGCATGATAATAAATGTTTTTGGACAATGTACAGTTTTCTTGAAATTATTCTCATGATTGTACTTGTTGTCGTTAAAAAGTTATGTTAATCTATTACATAAATAGTTCTTTTAGGGATTAAAACTACCTTAATAAAATATTAAAGAGTTAAAGTAGTGTTATTTTTCAATCTGTGTAGTGTTAATTTAACCCAGTTTGGTGAGTTAAAAATTAACTCAGACATGGTGTTAATAATAATTTGCTCAGTGTTAATTTAACCCGGTTTTAAGAGTTAAAAATTAACTCAGACATGGTGTTAATAATAATTTGCTCAGTGTTAATTTAACCCGGTTTTAAGAGTTAAAGAAGGAACTCTGACAAAGTGTTAAATAATTAACTATTTTGAAAATGTTAATTCAACTCTGTAGAGTGTGGAGCTATATAAACCCTGAAAAAATGTTAAAATCAACTCTGTGGGAGTTGATTCAACACTACAGTTTTTGCTGTGTGGGGTGGGTGGAGAAATGTTCATCGGTTCAGTGATATACATGCATCTGATATACTTAATTCTTGTACCGTGAATTCTTCTCAAACTTGGTTTAGCTCATTGGATTGAGCAGGCCTTAAGGCCAATGCAGAGCTAATGTAGTGCCCAGGTTTGAAGCCATTTCATGTGTGCCTTCACCCAGCTTTCCTGTCTTCTCTCTAGTGTCCAGGCAATATTAAAGACTAACAAACACAAAAAACTGATTTAAAAAAAGTCTCACCAAACTGAACAAGTAGACTTATAGCCACTGCATGTGGTTATACTGTAATTCACTCCTAATTTAAGTTGTGATTTTGCATTTACCATTGTAGCCGAAATGCATCAGTGAAGTACTCAAAATTTAAAAACAGTGGTAAAATAGATAAAAAATAAAGTGACACACCCAAAATGTGAGTTCTGTAACTTGGTTTTTGTTGTAATTTCAAGCCTTGATTTTAAGGATGCTTTTTGTGACAAAAGCAGCTAGAAATCACAAGGACAATGGCAGCAACAGGAATTCTTCGAATGGCCCGTAGCAATGAGTCAGACACCCCATACTCCCTCAGCACCTCCCACAGGACACCCGAGGGACACGGTCGAATGCCTTCTCCAAGTCCACAAAACACATGTAGACTGGTTGGGAAAACTCCTATGCGCTCTCAAGTATCCCTGAGAGGATAAAGTCCAGTATTCAGGACGAAAACCGCATTGTTCCTCCTGTATCTGAGGTTCGACTACTGGACAAACTCTCCTTTCCAGCACCCTGGCATAGACTTTCCAAGGTTGGCTGAGGAGTGTGATCCCCCTGTAGTTGGAACACACCCTCTGGTCCCCCTTCTTAAAGATGGGGACCACCACCCCGGTCTGCCAGTCCAGGGGTACTGCCCCTGATCTCCACGCAACATTGTAGAGGCGTGTCAACCAGGACAGCCCTGCAATGTCCAGAGCCTTCAGAAACTCGGGGCGGACCTCATCCACACCAGGGGCTCTGCCACCAAGGAGTTGTTTAACTGCCTCAGTGACCTCTCCCCCGGAAATTGGCGGGTCATCCACCTCATCCCCAGACTCTGCTTCCTCCTCAGAAGACGTGGGGATTAAGGAGGTCCTCGAAGTATTCCTTCCACCGCCCGACAATTTTCTCAGTTGAAGTCAGAAGTGCTCCGCCAGCACTATACACAGGTGGAGAACCGCTTTCCCCTCCTGAGATGCCTGACTGTTTGCCAGAATCTCTTCGAGGCAGTCCAAAAGTCTTTTTCCATGGCCTCTCCGAACTCCTCCCACACCTGAGTTTTTGCTTCAGCCACTGCCCAAGCCGCATTCCGCTTGGCCTGTTGGTACCTATCAGCTGCCTCCGAAGTCCAACAGGCTAACCAAGCCCGATAGGACACCTTCTTCAGCCCGATTGGCTCCCTTCACCCCTGGTGTCCACCTTTGGGTTCGGGGATTACCACCATGACAGTCACCAACCACCTTGCCACTGCAGCTCAATGCAGCAGCTTCGACAATGGAGGTGCTGAACATGGTCCAGTTGGACTCTATGTCCGCCATCTTCCTCAGAATGCTGTTGAAGCTCTGCCGGAGGTGTGCGTTGAAGATCTCGCAGAATGGGGCCTCTGCTAGGTGTTCCCAGCACACCTTCACTACGTATTTAGGTGCACCGGGTCTGTCCAGCATCCTCCCCCGCCACCTGATCCAACTCACCACCAGGTGGTGATCAGTTGACAGCTCAGCCCCTCTCTTTACCTGAGTGCCCA